GGCAGCGTGCGGCGCGGGGTGTCTTTAAGGCGCAGGGTAAGTAAGTGCTTCAATTTCAATTTGTGATGCGAAACAAAAAGGCGTCACTACTCTCGAGGCTGCGTTCTAGTCCTAACAGCATTCTGAAAATGTTTGCGGCTAAGCTTGATGCGCCGATGCCTCAACATTTTATCCAGGTTCTGGTGAGATCATGAGATTATCGGCGCCTCGAGCGGTAAGTTGCATATACGTGTTTCTTGTGTTTGCCAATGTATTGTCCCGTAAATTGTACCTACTAACAATAGCTTTAAGTTTAAATGTTCTGTATCTTTTTGTAATCTGTAACAAGTGGGCCATAGATGTCCAAATAAATGATTTATTATTATATTATTATTAATTTAAATCCAAAATTTAGGCGGTTGTCGTATATAATGTACGAGCCCTATACCTACGGTGGGGTCGGGCTCGGCCTGCGACGCGTGGTCAGTTTCAGATTACGGGGTGTGCTTATGCTCTTCGGTGGCACGATGGTTCCAGATGCGATCCTTGATTTAAACCAATTTATGAAAAAAACATTTGTAATTTGGTTTTGGTCAAGTATTCTGGATATTGCTCTCAGAATTATCATTACTCTGGTACTCATAGTAGAAATTCCCTAGTTTGAGACCAGAAATTTGGAGTGATTGTCTGGCATTTTTTCCCTAAATACTTGTCTTTTTAGCTTAGCTTCCAATAAAAAAGAATCTAATAGAGAGACGGTCGAGGTACAACAACGCTATAAGTATCTTATTTCCACTACATCGGGAAGTATGCCTTACATTTTGTACAATTGTGAGATCTTGTACACGTAATAGAGGCTCCGTATACTACCTATGTGCGGACGCTTCGGGCTTCGCCCTCAGCTAGACCTCAACCTACGGCCTCGGCACTTATGACTTTAAACAAATTAACATAGCTCTTAATTGCGGCCATATGGAAAAATGGCAAAAAGTAAATTTTGACTGCAAATTATTATTAAACACCCAAAGACTCCCCACATGCCGATTTTCAATCGAATTAGAGAAAATTTTCATCTGCCGCCAAAAAACACTTCTATGGTAGCCATATTGAAAAATGGCGGAATACCAATTTTGATCATAAATTATTATCAAGCACTCCTAGAGACCCCCATATGTCAATTTTCAAAGGGATCTGAGCAATATTTTTTCTGCCGCCAACGAACGCTTCTATGACCGCCATATTCGAATATAGCGAAAAACAAATTTTGAGCACAAATTATTATTTCTAGTGACCTTCACATGCCAATTTTCAGTCGAATCAGAGCTTATCTTTTTCGGCAGCTACTTTTAACGAAAAAAAAAACACTTATATGGCAGCCATATTAAAAAATGGCGAAAAGAAATTTTTGACCCCAAATTATGATTAAGGAAATCTCTTTCGGCAGCTACTTTTAACGAAAAAAACACTTATATGGCAGCCATATTAAAAAATGGCGAAAATCAATTTTTGACCCCAAATTATGATTTAGGACTCCTAAAGACCCTCGCATGCCAATTTTCAGCCCGATCGAAGCAAGTTTTTTTTCGGCCGCTGTTTTGAAATCGCCATCTTGAATTTTTTTAACCCAGGCCACACCCAGTTGACCAGTGTTACCCTCTATGACATTCCTTCGAGCACCTCCTACCTATCTGTAATAGTTTCCGTGATAGGAGGCTTTGAAATTTGTATGACGGCCATCTTGTTTATTTGAATTTTGAAATTTTTTTACTTCCTGCGGAAATTGACCAAGATACGCCTAGAGATACGCCTTGGCGTATCTCATAAAAGTGCACAAAAATCCTCTGCATGTATTATAGTTTTTGCAGGCCGTTGATCACTAGTTAACATTTTCCACATTCAGGTCTTCTCATATTTAATTCCTTGCCTTGGAGCCTGTCCGCGTACAACGTTATAAACATCTTTTTTCCACCATATCGGGAAGTATTCGTTCTATTTCTATCAGTGAGTAAGAACTTAAAAATTAAAAATTATGTAGGGTCAAATTGTCACTTAATACCGCTTACGGTAAGAACCGTCTAAAGCACAAAGTGTGAAGCTTGACGTGCTCTTGTCTGTACAAAGTTAGATATTTTATAATAAAGAATCAACTCTTTAATATTTTAACCGAATCGTTCGATTGGATATCGTTCTCCAATCGAAGGTCGCTTTCGAGCTATTCAGAACATTCGAGTCAAACGTTCGATTCGGATTCGGATACGATATCGTTATCCTAAAGTCCTACAGCGTTTACGGAGTTAGCCGGTGAAATAGATTACAAGAATAATGAAAATTTTAAAAAAGATTTAAGGCCTACAATATAGGAATGCATTAGTCTTTTGCACTAAAATAAATAATAAAATTGAACAAAATCCAAACTTCATTTAAAATAATAAGAGATTTCCATATTACAATCTTGCTTTGTAAACAATAGGGCGTAACTTTAATTCGAAAACTGTGTTCTGAATAACGTTTGTAGCCTTTGCCGGTCGAGAAGTTCAAGTAATCGTACGGGTGTGACGTCATTTCCGTTAGGTTTCAAATACGACAGTTTGACGTTCGATTCGGGTGTTGTGAATAAAAATGGAAAGAAATCATACGACAACTGAGTTATCGTAAGGTACTAAATCGACCCCCTAGTAAAGTACATCCTATTGTGTAACAAATTATCACATTCTTTAGACTTTAGGCATTCTGAGGTGTATCGTATATTTTTTGTAAGACTGTTATTTAATAGTAAATAATTTGATCTAGCAAGACAGTTTTTCCCGCTTCTCCTCCGATGACTCGCCTTAAACATTTATCAGCGGTGTCCTTCCTCAAAACGCCCGACTGTTCTACAATAATATATATATTAAAAATATATATATACACTCCCGGACACATAATTCGAGCCACCTCGTATTAAATGCCCTTAGCTTAAGCAATGTTCGATTGATCAAAAACTATCCTACGCAATCATTGACTTACAAATAAATGGACGACGGGTCTAATACAAAAACCACGAAAAAAATGTCCCAAGTCAACCTATTCGAAATTTAAATTGTAATGTCATCGCAGTATCGCGCTGTCAGTAGAACAAATGAAGACTAAAGCGGAGTGTCGCGCTCTGTATACGATTTTAGCGCCTTACAAGTGCTGACACTTTTTAGCGCGGACCCGACGTCCATATAATTGTAAGTCAATGTACGCAATGTTGAAACTAGTATATTAAAAGTCTTATGGAAAAGACTTAAGTCCTTGTTGGAAATTTCGACTTGCGAAACCCGGGGGAAACCTTTTTCTTCGATGACAACACTATTTTTGTATTCTAGCCCTTTAAGGCAAAAACGCGAGGTAGTTCGAACTATGTGTCCGGGAGTACATATTAGGGCCCAAAAGTGAAAATCAATAAAAACTGAATTTAACTAGCACTTTATTAACTTATTACGAAATTCATAAATTTAACAAACAAAACACCAATTTACACAATCACATCTCAATTCAATTGAAATTAATCTCCGAAATGCACTTTTTAATGTAACCACAAATCACGTTGATTACGACTGAACCTTATAAGAAATAACGAGCAAAAAGTACGGTCTGTGCTCTGACGCCGCTTTATACAGGAGTGGTCAGTGATGATAAGCGGTGTCTCCTAACAATACAGGGTTATTTTTAAATTACTGACAACCTCCCAGGACTATGTTATTAACATCATAAACAATAACTTTCGTTCCATGACTTTTTACAAAAATAATACATTTACCAAAAATAAATTTTTAAGCTTTTGTTGTAAATACTATAGATCTATATTTGGTAGAATAAGACAAGTTCAAACGTGCAAGCGTCCTCCGCGACGTCTCCAACCCCCATCCTGCAGAGTTGTTACCGTTTAGAGTGATCTATTTAAATCTATTTATTTTTGTATGAAAACAAAATCTGATGGACTATTAAAGTCATGGAACAAAAGTTGTTGTCTATGATGTTAGTAACCTATTCCTGTGAGGTTATTAGTATTTTAAAAATAACCATGTAATATATTAGGGATACCAGGGATGCCGCAAGTGTACCTGCATCCGCATCAGCAATCGCGGATCATCCGCATATTTTTGGATATCTGCTTCCCCATCCGATATCCGAATCAATCGCTGCAGAGTTTTCGCGGATATTTTGCAAGTCACGACAAGATAGTCGGGAGAAGGCTCTACTCAAAGCGCGTGCCGAGAACTAGTGATAATTAGCCAATCAAGGATCGAGAATACGGCAGCGTGTAATGCAGGCAACGGCCTGTTTGTTTCAAAACAAAAATAATTGACTTTCGATCTTTGTATAAATAATTATAACAAACTGGTGGGTAATTTCACAAAAAAATAATTGAATACATATTTAAATACAGTTAATAGCGACATCTCTAGCCAGGGCTGCCAGGTGTAAAGTTACCTAACTGATTGACGAAATACGTTCATAAATTTCTCATAGATGGCGCTACGACTAAAAAGTCGTTGAAAAACCAAATGCAAAGATCCGACAAACAAGCACAGAACAATTCGTAAGGTCCGCTGGTTCGTTCGATGGCTGAGTTGGCATAGCGTCTGGCACGGTATGCTAGAAGACGTCGGTTCGAATCCGACCGGATGGAAGGAATTTTTTCTAAGTGTTCGATCTTTGTATTAATAATTATAACAAACCAGTTGAGTAATTTCACAAAAAATAATTGAATATCAATTGAATACAAATTTTAATAAGTAACTTCTTTGCACCGACTTACGACCGTTTTTATTCAAGATAGCCCAACTTTATTTGCATAGAGGATGGCCACATAGAATATTTCTTGTATTTTATTATTAGCCTTATATTGTTCATCTCTTTTGTAATAAATTTATTATTTTTTACTAAAGTTAATGATAATTCCATTATCACTAAATCCACAATGATCCACAATTATTGATAAGTCTGAAAAAAAAGATTTGCATCCACATCCGCATCTGCAGATGTCATTATAGCCCACATCTGCGGCATCCCTATTATTATATCACTTTACGATTGTACAAATTGGTCATTGTTTCCAAAGTCAGCGGTCGCCTGCATTTTATCGTAAGGCAACATCATGGGATCCGTAGGAGGCATTTGGACTGTCGCAGCTAAAACTGGACTGTCTCTACCGTCCTTCAACAGTAATATTTTGACCATTGACCGTTCACCACCCTGCCCTGTCACGGAGCGAAAGAATATGTCCGGATTGATGTTTTCTTCGAACACTTCTTCTATACGCGTGGGGAACTTCAATTTACGGCCTGGTGCAAGGAGTGGTACCTGAAAATATTTTTAAAATACTTGAAATAACATAAATACAGCGCCCATCGCCATGTTGCGGAATTAAGAAGAACTAAATATTGCCGTAGCATAGCTAAGAGATCATTTTACTTTTATTACTTCTATTTCTTTCTTCTTTCTTTCTCACGAGAGAAATAAATGTAGGCCATACAAATATTTCTCCCGGCCCGGGAACCTAACCCGGGACCTGTGCGTAGCAGTCCAGCATGGTAACCGGTCGTCATTGAGGCAGTTTTAGTGATTAATACATCGTGATGAAATGTGCTTGCAGAAGAAGCATCACGACCTAGTTTTTATTTATTTAATTCAGGCCACATATAATCTACCTAAAGGACTAACATAAATACAATATAATAAAACACTATGTGTACTTAATAACTAACCTAAACGAATTGTTCTTGTCGGCGACGTGTGGCGCAATCTGGTGTCAGGTAAGTGTAGGTGCAGATAAGGGCTTTAGAATGGTGAGACTTCGTATGTGTAGATAAGTTGAAATCCGTAAAGATATGAGTTGTCATGTTGTGTGCAACATTAGTTGAAATGAGAACTTTGAATTTGAATTGTGGAGCTTAAAATATGCAATACAGCATATCAAAAGAATGAGTAGCTTATGGGATAGTCTATGGAAGAATATGTTGTAGAAGCATAACAGATTCTCAGAAATTCTCTTGTGGAGTCGAGGCTACAAAATCTCGTCCATTGCAGAAAAGTAGCCTGCTTGTCGTTTTCTATCGGATACATTTCGGTGAGTGTAATAACATGATATAATAACGCTCACGCTCAACATAGCCCCGCACTAGGGAAACCCTGTGTCGCGGGTGCCATGGACACACACATAGACAACCACAAATTACACCCAAACTCACGAGAGAAATAAATGTAGGCCATATAAATATTTCTGCCGGCCCGGGAATCGAACCTGGGACCTCTGCGCGGCAAGGCCGGTATGGTAACCGTTCGGCCACGGAGGCAGTTAAGTGTGCGCAGGAACTTTTCAATTTAGTTCCACCCTCACCGTTCCTCCTTCGGTCGAATAGAAGGTCCGGAACACTCCATCCTCATGTCGTTGATATACCACCAATTCGCACTAATCGATAGGCTTCCTCCTTTCTGATGCGTGCGGCAAAGGAATAGAATACTCTACTGTGTTTCCCAAAACGTATAATTTGGGGCTATAGAAGGCCAGAGTGAATAGGCATTTCTTAGGCAAACGCGTTAAATCGTCAGTCACATCGTCGCTTAATATCAGGTGAGATTGTGGCAAAGACGTGTGTATATTATATTATTAAAAATAAATTTATGTTTATAAATGAAAATTGACATCATACTTTAGGGAGCATCAGAGTGCCACTCAATCTTTCGCAAAGATCTGAGGGGCACTGCGCTCGTCACCCTGAGACATAAGTAGACAAGTCCTACGTGCCTATAATTTCACCCCTTGCTCTTCAAAACCGGAACGCAGTACGATAGGAATCGGAATTGTCAGAACGATAGGATGAGCACAGTTCTTAAATGCAGACATGATGATTGTCATTATTAAAACTATCTCAAAAGCTCGCGGAATAACCATCAATTTGCCGAGTTTTATTGAAGTCGGTTACCGTATAGTGCGCGAAACCGGATTCATAACTAGTTTCCACCCTTAGATGGAATATTTTCCTCAAATTTAAATGGAACTAATACTGAGGTACCCTCTTTCTAACAAAAAAAGAATCATCAAATTTTATCGCGTAACATATACAAAAAAATACAGTCGAATTAAAAACCTCCTCCTTCTTTTTTGAAGTCGATTAAAAAGTGAATAATCTGTCAACGTAATAATAATAATAACATATTTATTCACAAAAATAACATTTGGTGGTACATTGCGTAGGTACAGTTTTTCGTAACAATTAAGCGATTGCCCGACACTTAAACTAAGAAAACTTGTATCTTAGGAGTCAATGATCCATCATGACACAATAATTTTTAGGTACCTAATTAAACAAATGTTAACTTAAATTTTGTAAAATTTAAAACATGCTGTGTGTCTGAGAACGAATGAGTGTGTGGGTGTGTGTGGGGGGAGATAAAGTGTCTGTGTGTATGAATGTGTGTGTAGGTTAGCATATTGCAGTTATAAAATTATAAAGTTGTAAAATTAATTCCTAGTCAGTAATTTTTCCGTTTCCGTATAGTTGAGGGTTTGAAGCCATGTGTGTACAAAAACGTGAGGAGGAAATAGTTTGTAATGGGGAGTTTAAGTGTTTTAGATGCTTATACTACAGTAAATATCAGGTCCAACTCTTTCAGGCATCAGAAAAAGTAAGGGCGTTTCCTAGAATCGGGTATAAGAGAAATAATGATTATAGAGGGTCCAATCGCACTACAGGACTTACCTTGATGTAGGGGTTAGAAACCTTGTAGTTGGCAGTGTGTACATGAAAAAGTATAGCGAGGCCGATGACAGCTTTGTCGTTCGACGTATTCTCTATTATGAGTGTTACGCGGAACACCGGACCTAGACCTTCCACCTGCGGAAAAATTAACTAAATAATCAACGTTTGTCGTTCAACCGACTATGAAGACGCACTTAAGGTTTGAGAGGGTGTCGAATGAAATTAAAAAGTGTTACAAAATCTGCAACAAGCACATAGGAAAATTCGTGAAGTCCACTGGTTCGTTCCGTGGCTTGTTGGCATAGCGTCTAGCACGGTTTGCTAGAAGACGTTGGTTCGAATACAGCCGGGTCGAAGGAATTTTTTCTAAGTGTTCGGTCTTTGTATTAATGACGTCCAGTATATAGCCAGAAATATAGACAAAATAAGGGCCATCCATCCCTGGCAAATCATCAGGTGAATGGGCCTTATATCACTTTTAAACATCAACACTCGTTTGCGCTGAAATCAGAAATTAGAAAGCTAAAATAGTACAGCGCCAACGACTGACTTGTGTATACGCCTCCGTATATGACAAAAATATTTATTGTCATAAAGGTAATATCTCTAACTATGGGGACTGTTCCTTTCGGTGGTGTGGGAAAAACAGCAAAACATCTAATTGCAAAAAAAAAATGGAATCACATTTCATCGGCAAACTCAAAATATTTTTATTTCATAGGTAAACAAATTACTCAAGCTCAAGTTAAACGGTCGACTTGAAGTGAAACAAATTGATGACACCCGTCAAATTGTTTCGAATTCGGGCTGGCCAAAGCGCAGTTGTCACCGTAATGATTTGGCAGAATAGTTTTCAAACAAATTAAATGACATTTCGTCTGTATTTTTGGTTATATACTCGATGATTAATGATTATCACTAAGTACAGGTTTCTTACCACAACATGATTTTCTTTTATTTTCCCGATATTTTGAAACGGTTACACATTACTTGGACACGGGTTGACTGACCAGCGGCAAGTTTAAAAACAGACATATCTGTTTACCCTCTTTCGCTGTCGACGACTATCCTCATTTCGAATACTTGTCGCGTTACCATTGTCACTCACTTTTTTTCCGACAAATCACACTCATGTAGTCAAACTATTTTTGTTCTTATTATTGTAAGCACTAAAAACTGGAACATGGTAAGAAACTTGTAATTAGTGATAATCATAAATATTGTTCTTATTCTACTATGTTACTTGCCTTATTTTAGGTACTATGCTACTATAGCTCCGTCCAAGCATTTATTTAACTTTTCACATGTGCATGCCTCCAAAGTTCCGTAATTATTGACATAAAAATCATGACAGAAATGCAATACTAACAGGAATCTTTTATTTTTTAATTTTAGCGAAGCGACGTGCTCTTTAGCTCCTATATTTATCTAGTCAACACATTATATAACGAAGATAATTCAAGTTGATAAATTCTGGTACCTGTCTTATAAATTATAATGAAGTTAAATAAATTATAATTTGTAATAATAATTAAACGGATTTTTCTCCATTTGAACGGAAATCATCACTTGAATCCTCATTCATATTAATTTTTAACTCTTTAGTCATCTTCAGACAATATCTTCTTTTTTGAACCCGCTCACATTCACGATTTAAACTTCTTCATAAACAAAATCGATTATTATTTAAAAAAATCGAATCGGAAACGCATTAGCCGATTAGAATTCGAACTGTCAAAAGTTAAATAAACGGTTGGATGGAGTATAGCGCCATCTAGTCTTATACCAAGTTAAGTATCAACAACCTATATTACCTCTGCAGCCAATCGTACCGGTTCCAAAGCTCCGATGCCTATGAAGTTGTCGGACTTGACGTGAGCTTCGAGCAAGGTCTTTGCAGCTGTTAGACGTAGGCGGTTCAACTCGTGCTGGAAGCTCTCGTGCATAGCTGCGATTGATAATAAGTTATCTACGTAACATTGTTTTATCAGATATTAGTGACAATTGTGGGACTCGAAAAACGAATGTGACAGATTTAAAAATGTTGCTATCCCTTTTAGACTTAAAGAAAGTCATGGGTAAAGAAAATATTGCCATCTCTTTCACACTCTATATATTTGAAAAGGAGTTATTGTTAGAATTATAGTTAATATCTTTATTTCGTTCTCACCATCAATCCATTATATCTTTAGCTGAGAGATAGTAATTATAACTTTTTATAAAAATAAAACCGACTTCAAAAGTTCGTGAAATTACATCTATTTGCCAAGTTTTATTGAAATTGGTTGCCGGAAAGTACGCGAAAGCGGATTCATCCCCTAGTTTGCCACCTTTATTGGTGTAATATTTTTTCAAATTTAAATGGGACCACTACTGTGGTACCCTCTTTCCAACAAAAAAAAGAAACATCAAAATCGGTTCACAAATGCCGCAATCGCGTAACATGCACACAAAAAAAATACATTCAAATTGTGTACCTCTTCGTTTTTTGAAATCGGTAAAAAGAACGTTAAGTGTCAAATAGTAATTTTTACTACAGAGTGATTTAAAGAGAATGAGGCTCTTAATTAGGCATTTAAAATAAATAAAAAATCTTAATATTCAATTAACAAAAACATAGAGACAGTACCACTTAATGTCAAGTTAAATTTTCGTGAAAAATATCCATACCGATAGCCAACCGTCTCCAGCTACTTGGAATTGACCTGTCGTCCAATCTGAACTTCGGCAGATACATTGAATCCATGGTCAAAAATGCCGCCAAAAAGCTTGGCATCCTTTCCAAGGTGAGGCGTTACTTCACACCGGGACAGTTGCTTCAATTGTACCAAGCACAAGTCCGGTCGTGTATGGAGTACTGTAACCACCTTTGGGATGGCTCTGCTACATACCAACTGGCCACCTTGGATTCAATTGACAAGCCTGTCAAGAGGCTTATAGGTGACTCGGAATTAGTAGAGGCGAAGCTGAAGAGCCTTGAACAACGACGTAAAGTTGCCTGCTTATCGGTAATTTACAGGATCACGGAGAGTGTGCGATGGAATTACACAATTTAATTCCGCCTTCCCCTTTCCATCAGCGGGGGACTAGGCGTAGGCTTGGATTCCACTACTATGTTGTGGATATTCCAAAGATTCGCACGAAGCGTTACGCTTCCACATTTATATGGCGAACGGCTATGGAATGGAATTCCCTGCCTGCAGACTTGTTCCCTGAACGTTATAACTTGGACCTTTTCAGGGCGAGAGTGAATAGGCATTATTTAGGTGCATACTCCATCGTCAACCTCATCGTCACTTACCATCAGGGGAGATGGAAGTCAAATGCACACTTACATTTTAATTTAAAAAATACGTCTTTTATTCCGACAGCAATGTTTGTAAAAACTATTAAATACCAATATAAAGGTTCTTTACTTCTCACCTACAGACATAAGGAGAAAGTAGTTATAGTAGCAGTAGAACTGCTTGTGAAAGATTTCGTCCGGGGAAGTACTGCCACCTTACCTATTTCTGCCTCCAACCTGTAATGTGAACATTACTGTGTTCTGGGTTTGAAGGGTAAGGGCAGTGGCAGTGTCTATGTAGCGCAGTGGCGGCATTTACAAGTCTGTATTAGCCCGCACAAGCCCCACTGTTTTACACGGGTACGCTCTAAGAAAACCTGTAACAAATTCAATCAGAACTCACTTATAGCATGTTCTCGTTCTCTCATGGACTGCTCGATGAATAACTTGGACTTCTTCGGAATGAGCCAGGGCTTCTGAGCATTAGCGGCCGCCGCGAGTTCGATGCCCGCCGCGTGCGCATTGAATTCTGCGGTGCGCTTTAGGATTTTCAACATTAGAGTGCCGCCTACAAGAAAGTTAATAGTAATAATAATAAAACATTTATTTCAGAAAATTTTCATCCACATGTATTAATACAAATCATTAACCGACTTCAAAAAAAGCAGGAGGTTCTCAATTCGACTGTACTTTTATTTAAATTTTTATTGAATTGATATTCAATTATTTTTTATGTGGAATTACACAAGTTTGTTATAATTATTAATACAAAGACGAAACACTCAGAAAGAAATCCTTCGATCCGGCCGGATTCGAACCGACGTCTTCTAGCATATAGTACCAGAACTATACCAACTAAGCCACGGAACGAACCACCTCACGAATTTTTCTATGTGCTTGTTGTCGTGTCTTTATATTTGGTTTTTCAACGACTTTTTAGCCGTAGCGCCATCTATGAGAAATCTGTGAAAGTATTTCGTCACCCAGTTAGATACCTTTACAGCTACCAGGGCTCCCGGCCCCGGCTAGAGATGTCGCTATTCACTGTATTTAAATTTATATTGTAATTTTTTTTTTTGTATATATGTTACGCGATAACTGCAGCTTTTGTTAACCGATTTTGATGGTTCTTTTTTTTGTTGGAAAGACGGTACCTCAGTATTGGTCCAATTTAAATTTGAAGAAAATATTCCACCTCTAAGGGTGGCAAACTAGGGGATGTGAAATTAGGGGGTGTTAGGGGAGGTTTCGAGCACTTTCCGCAAACCGATTTCAATAAAACTGCAAATAGATGTAATTCCACGAACGTTTAAGGTCAATTATTTTTGATATTCTGTACTGAGATTATCAGAACATTTATTTTCTTTGATAATTATCAAACTAACTAACAAATTACCATATATGTCCTATAATACACGTATGGTAAATCTAATTTCTATTTATGGACAGGCGTGTCGTTTAACACCAGGCGCTCGACTTGCAAGTCCCGTCACTTGATACTATAAAAAAAATTACAAAAACTCCACACAAACGTAGCAACGCGACGTGTGCTCGCCCCAGCCGCGCACTCCGTGTCCGGACGCACACATTCGCATGATAATGAACGGCGCGTGGAACTGTTTTTTGACACATGCAGTCGACAACTATTAACCCTCTATGACATTCCTACAACATTCCCTCCTACCCATCTCTATGATAAAAAAGACTTCGAAGTGTGTATGGCGGCCAACTTATTTATTTGAATTTCGAATATTTTCCACTTCCAACGGAAATTGGCCAGGATGTACTACATCCTACGTCGTAAAAGTGACGTCATAAAAGTGCACAAATATCCCCTACATATATTATAGTTTTTGCAGACCGTTGATCTTTCTTTTATATTTTTCACATTCAGGTCCTCTCATATTTGATTCTTTGCTTCGGAATCTATTCGCGTCCAACGGTATAAATATCTTTTTTCCAACATATCGGGACGTATGCGTTCATTTCTATGTCACACGATGATGTAAAACTTCTTTTATTTGACAAACAAAGATTATTTATTATTAATGGTAAAATAGTTTATGCGTGACTTTCCCTGGTCACTTTAAATGTGTATAAACGAACTTACTCGCTGTGACAATAATAAACACGTGTTCCTCTTGCCCTAGTTGCCCAAATTTCATCACGGATGCTATATCTGAAATCGAGGAGTATTTTTATTTAATTTTCATTTTGATTTTTAAATTTATATTAATGACTCGTATCAGCTTACAGGCAAATAAAAATGTTAACTAAATTATACAGGGTGAAGTTTTAGTAATGTATTTTACTACAGAGCTGATAGTAAAAATGTGAACAAGTTTTATTTTGGGACCCTCGAGTTATTGGTGAATAATAGATATTTGAATAAGGCAAGCAGATGGCATGCCGAAATGACAGAAACACCATACCCATTTCTGCCACCAAGTAGTAATGTGATTAATAATGCGTTCTGGTTTTAAAGGGTCGGCCCTAATGAAAGTATTGGCACATGGGACTTGTCAACTTTGTCTCAGAGTGACGGCTACAATGGCAGTGCCACTTAGATCTTCGCGATTTAAAGCTTTGAGTGGCACTGCGACTGTTATGGATAGTCGTGTCGCTTACCACCAGGCGCACGACGTGTTCGTCCCGTCACTTGATATTAAAAAATCCCGTACATAATGAAGCGAATTCTATTACATTATTTTTGAAGTGAAAACTGGCTCCGACGTACAGATATACGTAGAATAGTTACTCAGTGTAAGGCAATTATAAGTACTACTATGTGATTATAGTTGTCCAGTGGGAGAACGATTGTTCCTCAATTGTGAGGTCGATAATTCGAATCCCTGCGACGGCACGTTCAACCATATGGGTAACCTATCACAAAGTCGACATTTTTTTGTCGGAATTACGTTTGTTCGAATTTTCATTACACCGAAAACCGAATTATAACGAAATGGTTGTTCTTTCAGGATATGTTGAATGTTTATCGCAAAAACACGATTAGGTACGGTTAGGTTAAGTTAGTTTAAAAGAAAAAACATTTTATTAAAATTACTTTCGAGGTTATGAAATTTCGACCAAACGTTATTTCTGGAAAATGTCATTTCAGACTACTGATAGGTAACCGTCCATATGACTTTAATTCATAAGTTATGTACATTTCTGAATGTTTAGTAGCAATACATGGAAAAACATCGCGATGTAACATACACATCGCAGAAAATTAACAACCCCTAGAGAACGTGTTCCTCAATCTATATTGGACCAGTGTGGCGGACAATGGAATAAACTCTCTCCTAAGAAAATCCGTGCCCATGCGTTGTTAGGCCATAGCCCGCCATGCTGGCACAATATGTGGTGGGTTAGGGACTTCACATGTTTTCCAAGGGTTGTGAACCTTCTTCGACGTGCAGATTTCATCACAAGGTTTTCCTTCACCGAAAAGCTGGTAAATTTCAAATTAAATTTCGCACATAAATTCCAACACCACTAAAACCAAAACCACTAGGCTACAATGGCTTTTTCCAATATATATAGTAAACTCTATTTACACTGCCAATATATTTTTTTTGTAATACCTCTAACGAACAATCCGTCCCTTCTCGATTTCGCGTCGTACAGATCGACATGTCCTGAGGCGAGTCCCACGGCCACTAATGTCACTCCCAGGTGCATTATAGGCATTAATGTCATTGACACCGGCCGATGCTCTAGAACTAGAGACCAATGTTTTTTACCCTGGAAACATGTAAAACATTTCGCACGTGACAACTAACATAGTTCCGTCGTTCCATGGCTTAGTTGGGAGAGCGTCTGACACGGTTTGCTAGAAGACGTCTGTTTGAATTTGGCCGGATCGAGGGATTTTTTTCTAAGCATCTTTGTATTAATAATTATAACAAACTAGTGGAGTAATTTCACAAAAAATAATTTAATATCATGGTGGTTAAACATCCTGACATTCAATAAAATACTTAATTACACTCTAGCCAGGGCTGGTAGAGCTGTAAAGGTGCTGGGTGACGAAATACTTTCATAGATTTCTCATATATGGCGCTACGGCTAAAAAGTCATTAAAAATCAGATACAAAAATCCGACGACAAACAAGCACATAGAAAAATTCGTGAGGCCCGCTGGTTCGTTCCGTGGCTTAGTTTGCATAGCGTCTAGCACGGTTTGCTAGAAGGCGTTGGTTCGAATCCGGCCGGATAAAAGGGAATTTTTCTAAGTGTTCGATCTTAAGTATTTAATAATTATAAGTAACATGATATTATCTCAAAATATGTGTTATATTATATGCACTGTCAATGAAATTAAATCGTATACGAATGAGATACATAATTAAAACGCAATTTTTAACCGACTTCAAAAAAAGGAGGAGGTTCTCAATTGGACTGTTTTTTTTTGTATGTGTGTCACGCGATAACTCCACCATTTGTGAACCGATTTTGACGAGTCTTTTTTATGTTGGAAAGAGGGTGCCTCAGAAGTGCTCCCATTTAAATTTGAAGAAAATATTCGACCTCTAAGGGTGGTAAGCTACGGGATGAATGACTTTTGAGGTCGGTTTTTTGGTACTCTGTACTGAGGTTAGGTTATTGAGATAATACTATGTTAGTTATCACGTGGGATTTGAACTAGGGATAGTCTAAAGGTGTTACTACACCAACCAATTTTTAGTCGATCGATTAAGAGATGAGTCGACCTCGATCGACAGTTCTTACTACACCAAATCGATCTGCTTGATTGCTCGCTTTGTCATTAAATGATCAAACTCTTTGGGTGCACGAAATGAACATCCTATTTTTGCCCTGTGCGTCTGGCGCACCCTGGGCAACAATCGGCGAATACCTTACCCCGATTGGCAAATCCTTTGCCACGCTGACAAGCATTACAGTGTATACCATAGACACGACAAGAAGATGAGAAGTCTTCAGATTAGTATTTTTTTTAATGGTACAGTATGGGGGAAATTCGAAACTATAGAAAATACAAGAAAATTGTCTTAAGAACGATCAAGTCTTTTTTTGTGAAAACAATTTTGGCCAATTTTTTGGTCAAGTGTGAGTTTTCCATAAAAATTAATAAAATTGATAAGATTGTTTTTAGGGCTAATCGATACAGTTTATGTAAGGACAATCGATACAATTTTATTGCATGAGATGAGAAATATCGGGACTGCAGAAGTTGGTCAAATTTCATGAAATGTTTTTCATACAAAATGAATAAAATTTACAATTTTTTTTAAATGCTCATGGACTCCGCTTCTTACAAGAATGATTTCATTGTATAGGACGAAAAAATTCGGGAATTTATTGATGTGCTAGTTGCAGATCTTTGTTTTCGGTTTTTTTTAATGACTTTTTTGCCATAGCGCCATCTGTGACTGCCTCCGTGGCCGAACGGTTACCATCCCAGACTCCCATGCAGAGGGCCCGGGTTCGATTCCCGGGCCGGGAGAAATATTTGTAAGGCCTACATTATTTCTGTCGTGAGTTTGGGTGTAATTTGTGTTTGTCTGTGTGTGTGTGTCCATGCCACGCGCGACCGAGGGTTTCCCTAGTGCGGGGCTGTTGAGATTGCGCGTGTGCGCGTTATTGTTTGAAATATATTTCTTCACTCAGCCAGGTACCTTTACAGCTACCATCAGCTAATTAGAGATGTCGCTTTAATCATTGTAATGATGTTTATTCATCACCATATCACCACCATGATATTCAATTATTTTTTTGTGTAATTACTCCACTAGTTTGTTATAATCATAAGATATCAAAGAATTATGCTGCAGGTGCCTAAAGGATATTGATACCGCACACACTTCTATAACAACATAAATCTACTTAATTGAACAGGCATTAAGATTGAAATTCGTTAAAATATATTCATCTTTTCTGGCCCCTGATTAGCTATTGAAAAAACAACGGTTCAACACACCTTTTTGCTGTACGATGCTAACGTATGGTCCGCGCAAATAACCATAACACTGTTATCCGTTGGTATGACTTCTATAGCGATGATGTGGTCGTCGGTATTGAATAGGATGCGTCCTTCCGGCCACTCGCGTTTTAGCAGGCATACCGATTTCTCTCTGGAATAGAAGTAGCTCATATACTTCGTGCATTCGTGGTTCCTATACACATCTGCCCCTCCCCTGATAATAGTAACCAACTGTAAGTAAATATTTCAAAGCAAAGTAATTGGTAGGCCAAAAAACGATTTTTTTTTTGTAAAATAGGAAGCAAACGAGAAAACAAGCTACTTGATGGGAGGATATTGTTAATAGAATAGTGTATTAACTCAAAACGTATATTTTTTCAGAATCAATAAAAAACGAATTAGTTCCTTTCGTGAAAAACTATTGAAACTTAGGTAGAGGTTAAAGTTTATTACAGACATTTAAACAATTTCCTACTTGCCAATAACATTTAAATTCAAATTCAAATTGTTTATTTCAGACCACGTTAGTTACAAATATACTTATATCCGATGTCAGTAAAGAAAATTATTATAACATACAATTGAGTCAAATCCACGAAAATTAATGAAATAAATTAAATCAAATAATCAATCACACCAAACTATAAATTCAATTGAACATTTACATTACATTATAAATTAAAAAAAATAATAATTAATAAATTGTTTTACTTTTGGTGGCTCAGGAAGAGTTTGTCTCATTCTGAATATTTTAATTGTTTCATGCAATATTTTAACGACGCTTTTAATGCTGTGAAGAGAATAAAATTTTACGTTCAGAAATGGAATAATCTTGAATTTCAGATATTTTTAATTACAACACTATTCCACTTTTTTTTGTTCCACTTCTTTGGCGCGAGGTGCGACGGCGATGGTGGAAACAAGACGGTGGCACCAGTTCGAAAAGTTCCTCTGAGCACTTCTCATTATAAAGCCGGCAGAAAACACACAGAGGGCCATCGTATCTCCGATTAAACAAAAAAAGCTTGTGCCTTTAAAAAAGCAACTAGTAGTAGTAGTCAGTACATTTATTTTGTGCAGTAGTGCATGAAAATAAATATATTTCAAGTTTTATCACCTAGTAGCAATGGTTATTCTGTAATCGACATTGTAAAGTCCGGTTGCAATCATTTGATGGGGCGTCTTCTTCACGATGCAAACTTTGGCCTATAGATAAATGGAAGCTCTGTTACTTTTTTCAACGCTTGCCAACAGGCTTAACATATGTTCAAAGTTCAAAATTAGCTGTTTCGCACACTGCATCCGATTCGTATTTGTTCCGAATTCGAGACTATTCTAATCTAGAAAACTGAGTAGAGATTGGAAAAACTGGTAATTTTTTTAAACGTTTACACGTTATGTTTTTCTAAATAGCGTGCTTTTTTAAACGCTTTTTCACTTACACGCATTTTAGTTTGAAGCTACCAAAATCGTTTACAAAACGTTTAAGCGCATAGACTTTTATGTTCAAAAAAGCTTGCAACGTCGTGCCACTAAAGGTTTTAAGATAAGTTTTTTTGAAAAAAAAACGAGTTACATTTTTATTTATGCCATAACATTATTGTATTAACATTTTGTTAATTGGCGTTTAAAAGCGTTTAAAAACATAAGTTGTTTAATTTTTGTAGTTGTTAACCATTGAAATGGAAAAAAACTGCTTATTAACGTTAAAACGTACATTTAAAAAGCGTGCTTGTAAAAGCGCTTTTCACTAAACCGCTTTTTAGTTTGACGCTTAAAAAGTCGTTTAGAAAAACGTTTAAGCGCATAGACTGACCAGTGACCAACGATTACGCTTAAAATTAAAAGCGTGCTTATGCGCTTATTTTAAAAAGCAGACTTTTTAAGTGCTTTTCGTTTAAACGCCCACCTCTAAAACTGGGACCCACTTCGGATGTCGCTCGTGCGCTAGATCCGATTCGAATCCCAAAAAATACGAATATCGCTTGTACACCTAGAGATACAATGATCCCTGTGACATTTCGGACCGTCGTTTCTCGGATTCGGAATTCAACTTCATCTCGTCCCTCTCGGACCAAGTACCGTATCTGACATTTTAATAAATAATGTTTTTATTCTCCACAAAATACGGTGTACCTTATTACAGCGAGAAACAGTTTACACGTTGAGTTTCAGTATCTGATATTTTTGTCATAAATTGAGCAAGTGTGTTTGCACACTACGTCAGGGGGTCTACTTTCGATCTCCGTCCGACATCCGTCCGAAACAATTATTGCCAAATAAGCAATACTAAGTAGATACGGAACGAACGCCGTGTGCAAACGCTCTAAGACGTACGATCATGCTGAGCTTTCAAAAAGAATCTATCTCTAGAATTAACTGTCATAGGTCTAGCTTTTTTTATTTAAGAAATATAACTAAGAACAACTTTGCCATGATCTACAGCTAAAAATGGGAAATGTTAACATGACAATGCATTGTCCTGAAAATTTTGTTAAGAACGTCAGTCAGGAGGGACGAATTAACTCACAAAAATGATGTCACGCGCGTGGGGCGACAAAATAAACGTTTCTGTAGCCCAAGGATTATTTTTTATTGAATATTATGATGTTTCTATTACCATAGCCATGTTGAGCAACAATTAAGCAAATGTAACAAACCTGGGAAATAGAAGTAAAAGTTTGAGGATCGAGTATGATGACCTCCCCGTCTTCAGAGCCAATCACCAGAGAGCTGATAGAGTAGCGGTCTATTGAGTGCATCTTTAGTGTTGTTATACATGCAATTTCAGGCACCTGAGGAGAGATAAGGCTATTGACTTCTTAATTAATGAGTTTCATTAAATCTAAATTTAATGACAACTCAATTAAGTTGGAGAAAAATAATTAAACTCTTTTAAAACCGACAAAGCAGTCCTGTTATAGTTTTTATAATATCACGGATCAGTCATTCGTACACGGAGTAGTAAGCGATATGCCTAGCCTAAGTAACAATATACCTCCACCTATCAGAAATGTTTGGTCACTTTTTGGATTTTAAAAGTTACTCAAAGAGAGTTTATTTCAAAATCTCCATTTTGTTACTCATTAATTCGTTATACGAATTGTTTATTTAATTATAATAAATTTCTGAAATATTTGAATGACATTTATTAAACTAGTTCTTAAAAAATTTATTAAATAAAATAAGTTTTAATAGCAGTAGAGCTCCTTGTGAAAGAGTTCGTCCAGGGAAGTACCTATTTCTGTCGCCAAGCAGTAATGTCAGCATTACTGTGTTCCGGTTTTGAAGGGTTAAGAGTGAAATTACAGGCACATTACAGGACTGCAGAGGTCCCAGGTTCGAATCCCGGACCGGAAGAAATATTTATTGCTCTCATGAGTTTGGGTAAAATTTGTGGTTGTCCATGTATCTGTCCAGGGCACCCGCGATACAGGGTTTCCCTAGTACGGGGCTATATGTATGTGCGTGTTGATGCGCGATTCATTTGTCAGGATTTTAATAGTGTTTTCTTGATGAATTTATTTGAAAAGAGCAATTCCTGGAGTTTCTTGCTCGTTCTTCTCATGGAAGTCAGAACAGCAAGCGAGCAGTAGCTTAAAGAAATTACGTTTTTAAGAGTAAAATAATTTTACCTATGAAATAAACAATCTTTGACTTTGAAAATTTTTCTGGGATGCATATTTTAGGTTTTCACGACTGTTGTAAAATATTTACGTCCTATTTTAAATAAAATTTTAATATTATTAAATTTTAAAACTTAAACTTAATTAAAACTAAAATTGAATTTCAAAGCAGTCTTAGGGTCGTATTCCAGAACTCTACTCAATTCTAATGGGGCTGACATATTCAATAATGATCAAAGGCCCTAAATAAATGAAGTGTTAAACAAAAGTTAAAGCGCAGTCCACGCCGCGAACGAAGCTAACCGAGCTAACTAAACTAACCCAACGATCCCGCTAAGCTATGTAAAATATGTCGCCATTCTGTCGCCCTTCACCCCCTCACATATTCATAGTGTAGAACGTCACTACTTACTAACTATTTTCTTAGCTTAGCTTTGCATGCAGCTACGTGACCTAAACTAAGCTAGCTTAGCTGGCATAGTTGGGTGCATGCAACTACGTAAGCTAAGTTAGCTTAGTTGGCATAGTTAGGTGCATGCAACTACGTGAGCTTTTTATTTTCTTTTTGCGTGAAGAAATCTTCCTAGGATACCTCTCCGCCGCGGGGGCAACGGGAGGTTATGCCGTTATGACTTCTACCGGCTAAAACCCCACGATGGCCTTCTCGGGTGCTCTAGTGGGAAGGATCCGGGATCGACTGCGCACCGGAACCCCCCAGCACCTAGGAGGACTACGTCCTCCCCCTCCTCTCCTCACGACGAAGCGGGCCACACCGCCCGTTGTCCTCCTCGCGGCTGCCTAACTTACTGGCGAACGAAGCCCCCGTTCCGATCGCCCGCAGCCGCGAAGGTACGCCGATGCCGAGCGGGATCGGCCCTCTCCCGATCACGCTCGGCGACCTCCTTCTGAAGCATCACCGCTTCACAGAAGGAGACCACTGCCTCATGGGACTCCGCCAACATAGCCGCTACTATACCTAGCGGAAAGAGATCTCGCCCGATCCGGGCAACCAGGATGTTTCGCTCGGAGGCCCATGCGGGGCACTCCTCCAGGCAACTACGTGAGCTAAGCTAAATTAGCATAGCTGGTTTAGTTGGATGCATGCAATTACGTGACCTAAGCTAAGCTAGCTTAGCTGGCATAGTTGGGTGCATGCAACTACGTAAACTAAGCTAAGTTAGCTTAGCTTCGTTCGCGGTGTGGCCTGTGCTTTATTGTACTACATATATTTTTCTTCCATTCTTTCTAAAACAATAACACAGATTTGAAGTAACGTTTATTCGCAATTTTATGGCTTATTTTAATGCAAAATAGTACCTTTCTAAACGACAAATCCTTGTTATGTTCCAAATATTCCAGCTGCTGATCAGTTGACATAGCCAGAAATTGCCTGGACTGCAAACTGAGGATATTAGGTGATGTCGCTTTTAGGCTTTGAACAGATGCTACTATTCCTTCTGGAGTGTGATTTAATGAATCCGATAACTGAAATATTATTGGAGCATACTCTACAATTTGACTTTGACTTTCTCAAACAGAAGACCTGGTCCCAGACTCCAGATTTCCTATACTATAAATACAGGGGCAATGAAATTAGCTCAGGGTACTACGCAGAACACCCACACCACAATCAATTTAGAAATGTTTCTTTCCCAAATTGTTCTTACTGGGAATTGAACTCAGGACTTACTTATTTAGCCCCCATTGTGCTAACTGCTGGGTCACTGAGCAACTCAAGACTATTTATAAAAATTTAAAAGCGATTAATTTGAACTATTAAGATAAACAATAGCTGGTTAAGTGAAATAGAAATCCCATATTTACCCATTTCCATGCTTCTTTTTCACTTTCATTGAATTCAACAGCAGGTAAGTAGTATGTATAGAACATTTTCATGTTTCTATACATATAGACACACGAATTGAATGCGACAGCTAAAATGGGAGAATTACGAGACTCGCTGGTGTATAATCCCGCCACTCCTAGTGGCAGATCAGGGAGTACTACGTCTGATATCTGCATGGCGCCACGGAATATCTGTCAAAATTTGATAGTATTATAAATATTTATAAGTATGCATGCTATTAATGTAAATATTATTAAAGCCCAACCAATGAGGCTCTCTCAAATTAATTCAAATGGCAACCAGTAGAGATACTTGTCAATTGTAGCTGTAGTGAGACAAATAAATGAAGAACATCGACTTTGCTTATACTATATTATATATATGTTATATATATATACAATTACAAATAGGTGATGAACAAGCTATTATATTACTCTACTTTTAGTACAAAAAGACACAAAAGTTAATTAAATTTAAAAATAAAATAAATAGACTTTATTCTTCAACAACATAGATAGCAAACTTGACAATAATATATTGTCAGTGTTTTTAGAACGGGCTAAAGCAACAATGTAAACAATATGGGTATAGATTCCACACAAATTTGATTCAAAGTTCCATTGCATTTAGGTTTATTTAAAAAGAGCAATTCCTGGAGTTTCTTGCTCGTTCTACTCATGGAAGTCAGAACAGCGAGCGAGCAGTAGCTTAAAGAAATTACGTTTTAAGTGTAAATTATTATACCTATGAAATAAACAATCTTCAATAAAAATTTTCTGGGATGCATATTTTGGGTTTTCACGACTGTTGTAAAATATTTACGTCCTATTTTAAATAAAATTTTAAAATCATTATATTTTAAAACTTAAACTTAATTAAAACTAAAATTGAATTTCAAAGCAGTCTTAAAATATTTTCATTTGTATGTAAAGTATTTAGTGTTTTAAAATATTTACGTCCTGTTTTAAATTCAGTTTTAAAACTTAAATTTAATTAAAACCAAAATTTAATTTGACAACACAATATAAACATTTTAAAACAATTGTTAAAACCTAAAACGCAGAGCGGACTCCCCTGAATTTTTTTTTCAAAATGTTGCCTATGCGCTTCCTACAAAACACCTGATGATATATAGGGTTATTTTAAAACTACTAACACCCTCGCAGGACTATATTATTAACATTGCAAACAACAACTTTTGTTCCATGATCTTTTACAAAACATAAACAATTTACCAAAAATAAACTTCCAAGCTTTTGTTATATTATCTGAAAATTTTTAGATCCGTATTTGGCAGGAGGGTAATTCAAACGTGCATGCGTCCTCCGCATCTCCCATCCTCGTCATGGAACAAAACTTTTTGTTTATGATGTTAGTAATACGAGGTTGTCAGTAGTTTATAAATAATGCAGTATACTCAGGTTTTTTTATAACATCAACTGACGGGACAAACAAGTCATGGTTTAACACTATAATGAAAAAAAAAAGAAAAAAAAACACTTTAGCAGTTTTCAAACTTCATCTTGTGGAACTGGTGGTTTCTTTAAAAAACAAATATACTCGATATCGAGTTCTTAGGTTTTCGCGATTGTTATACATAGGAAATTAAACTATTTTCCCGGATTTTTATAAATCCGTGACCGTGACCGAGATCATGGGACCTGTAAAGGGCCCGAAATGTTGGTTTGTTCGAAAAAACAAATATACAAATCCGGAAAAATATACTCGATTTTAGATTTCATAAAATGGTTTCCATTTGCAATGTGTTGCAATCGCGAAAACCTAAGAACTCTAAAGCAACGTATTTACAATTCAATAATTAGGAACAACAGTGCTGCTAACTTTCAATTTCGGCCCCTCTTCGCTTCGGCCCAAGTCTCCGATAAGAAGTTTGAATTCATTATCACTGTGCAAGTCCACAAGGGCCAAGTTGCTTGGCAATGTATTTAAGTCTATATCGTCCGTACCCACTTCTACGTCTAGCCAGCGCGACATGATATAATATCTTCACTTTTTATTATTAATGAAACATAAATTAAGTTTTCTAAAATTTTGACAACAACAATGCACAGAAAATCACAGAAAATGTTTGGCGCGCACCGTTTCCATAGCAACGGAAATCGGATTTTTTTTTATATATTAAAAGTTTTGGCTTGGAATCAAGTCCTTTGAGCAATATCTTCGTTTAATTATCGGCATACTCGGTAATATTTTCCATAGTAGTTCTAATCATAGATTTAGTATATCCATACTAAATCTATGGTTCTAATACATTATGTTTTCAATTACTCTTGAGTAACTTAGTTAACTTATTTGAGTTTTTTACATAGTCTTTTAAGCAGCGGGAGTCAATATTTATGTTTTCACTTTCACCAAAATCACTTTATCATTTATTACTTTGAATAAAAACTTTGAATTCGTAATTAGTGGAATTTTCAGGATAAAGTCTTTTGTAATTTGGTTTAAGATGAATATAGTTCTAACTTTTTTCATCACTATTTCTTTCTTCTTCCTAATATAATTACAACAAAAATAATCTTTGTAAAGACTGTAGTTGTAGCTTCAAAAGCCCGCCATTTCTTCGGATGTAGGAATGTAACATTTGATAGATGAAGCGCAGTGCATTTGCTCGCAACTAGAGACAGGCGCATTGTACAGATTACTCATAATAAAATGTATGAAACGAAAATACTTGTGCGTTTGGAGACCGGAATCACATTATTAAATTGTTACATCAAAAACTTTTAATACCGATAAGTGTCAATTAAGATTTATTACACATTATTGTATATTATTTACATTTCCAAGAAACTTAAGTACTAATATCATAAAAAAATAGCGATAACGCGATTAAAGAGAACAGTTTTAAAATTTTATTGGTATTAAGCTTGGTAATCAATTTAAAGTTTTGATTTTATCTATATGACACTGACATTTCATTTTACGGTTTATTGGTGGACAGTACACTTGTGTTTGTGTGTAGTTTTGTTTCTTTTTGTTTCAAAGATTCTGTACTTTAATTGTGTAAAGTGATAGCACCATTTATAAAACTCGCTTCATTTTTTCTGCAGTTTTCTGTGTCCCATTTTTACTTGGTAAGTAGCTTTGTATGTTGTTTTAAGGCTAGTTAATAAGTAACAAAAGTTTTGCAAAACTTCATTTCAGACAAGAAGTTTTATTCCTTGTTTGTTGCAGTCGGAAGTCTTAACTACGTATCCTTTTCTCCTTCCTGGCCAAGAATCTCCTACATAGCCGATTACATGATTTGTTAAACTGAATCCTGATTATGCAAATGTTGATTTGGTATAAAAAAATAAACTAATTCATATATCTTTCTAGACCTTGTTTGTTGTGAATGAGTATGAATTTTTTTTCGACAGAAATTGTAATTAAAATTGTTTAAACAGAATCTATGACAGCAAATAATTGCAGAAACTAGCCTATTAGTCCAACCGTTCCACATTTCAAATTTACGTTCAAATTATATTGATCAACCCTGAGATTTAATAATATATACTAGACAATTACTTGGCTCAAATTAAAAAATTACTTGCACTATAAGTACTAAGTTAGTAGCAGTAGAGCTCCTTGTGAAAGAGTGCGTCCCGGGAAGTACTGCCACCTTACCTATTTCTGCCGCCAAGCAATAATGTGAGCATTACTGCATTCCAATTTTGAAGGGTAAGGGTGCTGGTATAAATCACAGGCACATGGGACTTGTTAACTTATATCTCAGGGAGTTGGGCACAGTGGCAGTGCCCCAGATCAGATCATTGCGATTTAAGCTCTGAGCGACACAGCAACTGCTATGGACAGGCTTGTCGCTTACCATAATTTAAAATAAGTCGGTCCCCAAATTTGTCTTGCTGGGAATTGAATCCTAGACTTCCTCATTCAGCACCCATTTACACATGGCTGTAAAATTGTTTAGTGCCATACTTGAAACCATTTTTCTATTACATAGAGCTTCTTACTTCATAATGGCTACAATTTATTATATAACTACCTCATTGTAATCTAATAACTTGTTTTAATTAAGTGCACCGTAAGTAAAAATCTCATTAAGGCATTCATAAGTACTTATTGTTGGACATCATTAAATTATGTGACTTTTTAAAATTACTATGTGTTAAATAGAGCTAAGTATTACTACATGGGAAATAACAAATTTTGTAGTGGATTTTGTATAATTTTTTATTGTTGAAATCACTATTCTGCCCACCTTATCCCAGACGCAGGTGGTTAATTGACGTGATGGACATTTTTAGCGAAATTGAGTTATTAACATATCTGGGATCAGCATAACAAGATCTACCACCCTGTCAGGTAGTTTTTTTAATATGTTATTTAGTTTCAGTTTTATTGTTAAACAACTCGCTCGCCTCGCGCTCTCGCTCAGATCGTGGTAGCCCTACATATCTCGAAAGATACCATACATTATGACAATGAAGGCATTCCTACACATCGCACCTTTAGGATAACATAATTTTAAAAAATGAACAAAATGAGTATACTGTTAAATGCCTTTAAAAATCATTTCATAAGATTGTTAATCTGGAACTGTCCATGGAATGTTACATCATTATTTTTCAGGTCTAACAAGGTTATGTTATGTTACCTTTAGTACATCCAGAGTAATTAATTAAATAATGTGAAAATGTCCACTTCAAATCTTATTTTACACGTTCTCATATAGTTGGAATTTTGTGTTGGGCCTCTTTTGTTCTAAAGATGCGACAAATTAAATATATTTATCAGGTAATAGATAATAATTTTAGAAACTCTAAATAAATTTAAAATTTTACCTCCAGTATCGAATAAAGATAATATGTTTTTTATGGTGTTGCCCACAAAAAAATACACTTTAGCACTAATATATTGCACTAATATGTTAGAGGATGTAAAAATAATAAAGGTCAATAGTCTGCAATAGTCGAAGACTAATGTACACTAATTTCTCATTGAAGAACTTATTATCATAATATTGACTTCTGAGGTGTTCGCGATTGCTGGACAGTAGAAATGAAACTATTTTTTCAGAACCAAATCGTGTATAAGTATTCGTTTTTCGAGCAAACCTACGTTTCGGGCTAATTATTAGTCCAACCAAGAGATGGACAGGCATCCGGGTTTTAACCCGGCGCTTTGTTAACGTGTTAACGCTTAAATCAGGTTAAACTCGACGCCCAAAC